TGAAAAAAAAAATCTGAACCCTCTCCAATTGAAACTAGATCACTTTCAAACACTCTATGATAGACACAGAGATTCACACTCAATCCACTTTTAATTCAGGTTACACAGAGAGGTAAATAATCTCCATTTGCTCAAAAGAGGTCCTACAAAACTCAACTCTATTAAGTGTAAATTTGATAGTGAGGAATTAATATGTAAGAGGTTCAAACCACCGTCTTCTGTCTTCCTCTCAAATTTTCAGCCAGCATTGATAATGCAAATCTAACACTGCAGCTTGACAATACTAGGTTGACCTCTGAGAATTTCAGGAACTAGTAAGTCTCAATTCCCCCCCGCAAATAATTTTATTAAGAATTATAAATGAGGGGAATAAGGCTCAATATAAATTACAAAAAATATAATAGAAGAATACAAACAAGAAAGAAGTGTGTGAAACAGAAAAAAGGAAAAACAAAAGGGGAAAGTAATATCTTCTTTCATTCTAGCAGGTAAGTGTTATTACTAAATGTCTAGTAAAGGCAACCAGATATAACTATTTTCTTCTTTTAAATCTGTCAAACAAGCAAATTTTATAAATCTTCACTAATTTTTTAAAAAATCTTTAATCCCTTCAAAAATGCTTCAGAGGTAGTTTGCTGTTCATTTGTGTTTCAAAGCAAAAAACCTTCAAAAACTATTTGAACTTCTAACTAGGGAACAACTTCAATTGAAGACCTACAAGAAGGTGTAGCTCAGTGGTTAGGGTGCAGTACTGCAGGTCACTTCAGCTGACTGTTATCTGCAGTTCAGCAGTTCTAATCTCACTGGCTCAAAGTTGACTCAGCCTTCCATCCTTCTGAGGTGGGTGAAATGAGGACCCAGACTGTGTGGGCAATATGCTGACGCTGTAAACTGCTTAGAGAGGGCTGAAAGCTTTATGAAGCGGTATATAAGTCTAACTGCTATTGCTATTGCTATTGCTATCCCACAGCCAGTATCCCTGAAGAAACATATTGCTAAAATGGGAGAAGGATTAAAAGCATATGGAGTGAGGGTGTTAAAAAAAAGTCAAAATACTGTAGTGGTTGTGCAGCTTTGATCACAACCTTGAATTTTCTGACCCCTCACTCCCAATGCCTCTGACCAGAATTATTGTGCTGAAGTAGCCAGAATCTTACATGTTCTCCCATCCGTGTGTATGTGGAGAAAGATATTTATTTCTGATTGTCCTGCTTTTCCTAGTATTCTGTTCCCTGCGTGTCCATAGACTCCACATTTTTAACACCATAACGTCTTTATCAAAATCATCCTGAGCAAATCAGTTTAAAGCAACATTTCTTAACATGATGTTTGTTTTTGCATTTAAAGACTTGTCTTTCAAGAATATGTGAGGGTACTAGTTTTAGTAAAACTAAACATTGCAACTTTGAAAAATATTCTCAGCTGGCATTGCCACTAATATCTTGATAACTTTTCTATTACTGGAAATGAGAGGTCTGTAAAATTAAATGCAATTAAATGCATTATAGAGATAAAGAGGCCAGTCCTAGCATGACTTCACCAAAGCCTGACAGAAAAGCCTGAAAAATATGAGCGCCTGATAGAGAAGAACTGGAAACACATTGGCCATCAATTCATCAACAAGTTTTCTTTGGAAGTCAGTTCTCCAGAAAAAATGCTGAATATTTTGGTGCTTGCATTATGGTTGCTCAGTTTCCCATTTATTTCTTTGCAAATTGATGAGGTGAATCAGCAAGTTACCAGGAGCAAAGACCAGTTGCCGTGTGGCAATCTGGAACTCATAAGCCTGAGGCATGCCCTACAAAGCTTGCGTATAGATCTGTAGACTTAGATCAGTGTGGTGTGGAAATCTGTCAGTCCATTGTCTTCTCCAACTCTGAAATAAGAACAGATCTGTACAAGAAAAAAATCATCTATTACTGGACAATATCTGCTGAAACTCTTCTATCCTGAGATTTGCTGAACTTCTAGCCACTTTAGAACAACAATAATTCAGTTTTGATATCACTATCAAATAAAAAGTATTTGGTAGATCATTGGTTTCCAAATTATCATATTGAAGAACTATTAAGTTGGAACCAGGAAGTATGGATTAATCAATTATGAAAAAGTCTCCAAAGTTTCTTGCCATTCCTAATTCCCTCTGGAATTATGCTCCAGTAAGGAAGAAACTCCAGTCACATACAACAATCAATAAATTAAGAGGTTGACGTGAAATTTTCTCCTGAATATTTAGAAGATAACTTTTCTAGAAAGTGTGCTTTTGTCTTCTGCAGCATTGGAAATAAAAATTAAAGAATATTTATGATGCCCAAGAAGCATTAAGGAGCAATGAGACTGCCATATGTTTTTAGAATGATTGCAAATGCCTTTATTATTCTAGATTTGATGTGCAATCCCTTTTTGTTGACTAGCATTTTGTACAGAACGATTTGAGTTTACTCCCTCGTGGAGCATGTTCTTGTCCAGACCAAGATCTTCTGTTTGTCATTTTCATGGGATGCTCTCTTTTGTTGATACTTCTAGCATCACCTCAGAATCTGATACAAAACTTTACAATACAAAAAATGAAATACAAAATATGATACATAAAAAGATGTTGAGATTCTAGAAAGAGTTCAGAGAAAAGCAACAAAGATTAGAGGTCTCTTAATCCATCAATCTCCATTGATTGATGATTTCCTTTTGGGGCTCCAAGTCAACTGGCAGAGCCAATCTTAACAGAGCCAGGCTCTTACAGAAGGTCAGAAGGATAAGAACGGATTTCATCTCAGGAGAGAAGATGTTCCAAAGATCAAGAGCCATGGCAGAAAAGATTCTTCTTTTGGACCCAACCAGCTGGAATTCTTTTCCTCATGGGGCTTGTTGCATGCTCTTTCTGCAAGTCCGCGTGGGATAGGCTAGTTCCATTGGTAATATACAAAGGGATTCCTCCTACCAGGGGTGAGCTGCTACAGATTTGCTGATAGCTAACCTTATGGCTGGTTTGGAGAGCCTCCAAATCCCACCCCTGGCTGGCCCCTCCCATCCTGCCCCTCTCACGAGTCTCCATGCGGCCTGTTTGGATGTGAGGTAAGTGCAAGGCCCATGCAGTGGCTCAGGGAGGGGGAAGAATGGGCCTCCTGGATGTTCTGAAAGACTGAAAACGGTCCCGCTTCCAGGCTCTCACCCTCCCAGAGGCTCAAGAAAAGCCTTTGGAGCTTGGGGAAGGCAAAAATGCCTTCCCCTGCTATGGTGCAGGAGGCTGACTAGGCCACGCCCATCATGGCCATGCCCACCCAGCAACCGGGCAGAGAACCTGTTGCTGAAATTTTTGAAGCCCACCCCTGCCTCCTACCATTTTTTTCTAGCACAGCGAGAATATGAGATAGGCTGAATAGGAGACAGTGATTGTCTTGAAATGTCCCAATGAATTACATGGCTAATAAAATCTGTGTCTCTCGAGGACCAGTCTCATACTTTCCTATTATCCTATCTGATTGGCCAACAAGCATGTTATCATTATATATGGACCATAGGCAACTTTGGAAACAATTTAACCTGGTGCCATAAAACCTTTATTAGTAGATTCCTTCATTAGTTCTTACAGCAGGAGAGGACAAAACCACCTCTGGCCACTTTTGTTAAGAATTGTTAGTACTGTTTTGTACTATTTTGAAGTGGGAAAAATAATTTGTGTAAGTTCTGAAATAATTTTAGTCAAAATACTAAAATTCCCTCCAAAATCTAGGAAAACTGATTTTTTGTCCTGTCCACAACATTGTCTTGTCCAGTGTCTTCCTTGGCCTCTCTCCAAAGAGTACGGTACAAATTCAGGGTCCCACCCACTTTGCCAATTCTGCCAATTCTTGAAGAACTGAAATGCTACTGATCTTTTACCATGAGCACCAACACTATTGTGGTTTGTGTGACTTCAGTGTTCTAGGTATGTTAAAGTTATTTTAGGGATAACACAACAGTTGTCATGTTTTCAGTCTTAAAACTGAGAGAAAACTATCATTGGGGCACATACACACACAAATCCTCCCCTCCTCCTCAAACCACATTAAGGCAAGAAGGGAATTTGACATATATGTGAATTTCAGTTCCATGAATTCTCAACAGTGGACATATTGGATGGGTGGGATTCTGGAAATTGAAATCCCACATCTGATTGGTGGAGTGTTACTTGGGGGGGGGGGAACTGCAGGTGCCAATTTTTAATTTGCTGCTTTGTACAGTGCCCCCCCCATGTTTAAGAAACATGGCTAAGCATTTCATAGAGTTGCACATTGTGTAAATTAGCCATTGTTTAACATCTTTTTGCTGTCACGAGTGGTTTATGGAGGTTTTAATAGTCTTTGGCTTCTGAGATGAGAAGGGGAAGGTGAATTTTCCAGCACATTAAAGAGTTAGCGGATTTCAGGGGCAAAAGGAGTACATTAAATTCTCCAGAGACCTAATTTTCCTATTTAGGTTGTGTCCCCCCACCCCCGCACTGCCCCTCTCTATTCCATCCTATATTTCCTTTGCTTATTGGCACAGCAGAGTGGATTGCCATGTTTCAGCTGTTTTATTCACCGGGGCTGCAGGAAAGGTAAGATTTAGTGTGAAGCAAACTGGTTGTTACACCAGTTGAATCTCACAGCTGAGAGTATCTCTGAGCCTGGTCTCCCAAGATTATTTTCACAATTACAGATTTATTTTGAAAGTATACATTTGTATTATTGTGTATAATTTTTTTGAGCTCTTTTGCAGGTATCTTTAAGGAGCGAAGAATGTTTGGGGACAAAGTTTTTTGAGAAAAAATGATCTGAGATGGATTTGATCAGCACTGAATTTCATTTAGCAGCAGATTCTGTTTTGATGGATTGTTGCCCTTTTCGATAAAAGAAATCTGTAATGTTTTGTTCAGAATTCATCTCTTTCCTAGTCAGTCCCCATTCATTCTTGGGTGCAATTAAGAAGGCAAAATTCAGGATTAGGGATGCCATATTCTCCAGTAAAAGCTGAGTTGCACAATGCGTTGCATCACAAGTCTAGATGTTGCTTCTGCTAAGGAAAGAATTCAGAAAAGCGTAAATAAATCCATTATGGCTCACCTTTTAAATGTGATTCATCTAGATGAGATAGATGCTTAGTGTCTTAATTATGGATATTCCTTATCACAGCTGTCATGAGCTTCAGCAATCAATTCTATTTGCATTTTCCATCACCCCCACTTCATATTTGTACATATCAGCTACAGATTTCACAGATATCAGGACTTCCCTGTACCACGTTTATTTCAGGAAATAATTTGAATATAAAGATACGAACAATAATTACCTTGTCTAGTTGGGCTCTTTTCTGAATTAAGGATCAGTCCAACAGGGAATGACAGTCTCTTCATGATCATTGTTGCAAAGTGTTATGCAAAGTTGTAAGTGTTTGCATCCCCCTTTAAAAAAACATTAACAAACAGTATTGGATCTCATACATTACTATTATGGGAATGCAAGGTAAACGCAGGAATGTCAAATATGAATCAGGGTCTGCGAAAGTTGCATTTCCACTCAGTAGTCTACCATCTATTCTATACAGTCGTGTTTTATAACTTCAGCAACTTGATGTTTGAACTTCAACTTCTAGAATTCCCAGCTGGGAGGATGGATAGTGAATTCTGGAAACTGAAATCCACACATCTGAAATTGCCAATTTTGAAAAAAAGCTGTTTTAAATCAGGGATGGAGAGCCTAGGTTCCCCATATATTCAGAACTGTACTCCCACCCATTCACAGCCATCATGTATGACTTTATCATTTAATGTACAAGTACAGAAGCAATTTGTAAAATCTGCAGTCTTAAGGTAGCCTTCCAAACTGTCGACCTTCCAGATTTTGTACAACAACTGCAAAAAGCCTCAGGCTTTCTATAGACTCTCATTTCTGATGTGATGGTTCCCCCTTTGCAAGATTGCATTTTCATTGCCTTTCCCTGGGTGCATTTTGCACATAAAAATTCCATCATGTTCAACTACACCCTTGAGCAATGCTAGTCCTGTTTCTGAGGCATACTTGAATGTTCACTTGGGGACCGAGAGGGAAACACAAAACTACCTTTTATAGGACAAGGTGTATCTGTAGGAAAGAGATGAATGTAGAACTTGGCTTTGATGTCTGAGATGATGAAAGNTGGAAGGACACCAGTTAGGAAAGATTACTTTAGCTAGTGTAATCTTCAGATTGACCCTCTGCTTGCAAACGGAGCACTTCCAGTACCACTCTTGAGTAAGTCCTTCTGCAATAGTAAAGCTTGTTTAGTTTATTATAGGTTTAGATCAGAGCAACTTAAAAATATTGTAAACATAATAAAATGATACTTTCGCATTGAAATATAATACCACTACAGTAATACGCCAGGCTTACATAGCTTGAAGCAATGATACATCCTCCATAGTTATTATACACATTCTTGCCACACTTTCTGAGTTGGCTTAATACTGAGACCAGCTCTTTCTTGGTAGTAGCTGAATTTCTGGAGAGATACCATTAATCATTTCTGGCCTCAATGTCCCCACAGAAAGAGAGAAAACCCAGAAAGGGGCTTAATTAGGTGATGATCATAACAGCATTTGCTTTTGAAAGAGTCAAGCACTTAAAGTACAAAGTATAAAATTTGCCCAAGAAAATGGAATGGATACCAAGAGACCACAGAGTTATCTTTGGTGTACTAATAGCAATATATATTATCAAATAATAATGAATAAATGTATGCAAGCAGTGGCAAGGCTAATATTTTCTGAAATATAATGTGTAGATTGAAGAGATCTTTTGTTGGATTTTTTTGAAGTAAACTTTGCTTGTCAACACGTCAATGCAAGTCTTTTTTTTTTAAGTGCCTTGGGAGAAAACAGAAAGAATGATTCATTCCTATGGTCCAAAATAATTTGCACTTTGCAGTCTGGTGGAAATGTATTTATTGGCTAGAAGTCAAGATAAACAGAGATGGGTTCCAATGGCCTTTGAAAAGCAATTTTGTGGGTGGAGATCTTGGCTAAGACCATTTATGGCAAACATTTCTCCAGGAGAAGGAGAGCTTTCCCAAGGTGAAGTTTCTTCACCTTGTCTGGCGGAATTGGTACAGGGACATTAACATTGCTACTGAAAAAGCTCAATGAGAATCATTGTTTCAAAATATTTTTACTTGATATTTAACTGAAATGAGTAGACTGCAGAATGCAGAAGAGAGGAGAACAATCACCTAATCACCAAAGAATAGCAAAGCTACTATATCCTATTGTAAATTGCATTTGAAATTTCTTTTCTCTTAAAAAAAATGCTATAACTCAAAAAGCAAATAATCTTTTCTCAAATGGAATGACAGTCATCCGACTAGAGAATTCTGGGAGTTCAAGTCCATACAACTTAAATTTGCCAGGGTTTGAAAAATACTGGCCTAAAACATTATTCCTCAAATTAGTATCCTCCAATCAAACAGAGACTATCATCCAGCCCAATGGAGGCAACGGCAAAAAATGCCCTCTTTGTAAATGGTGCAAAGAGAAGTGTATATGAGAAAAGTTCGCACTGTTCCTGTCATAGGCCTCTGTTCCTTCATCAATGTTTTTTGGTGTCCATAAGTGATTTTGTTTATGTATCTATAAAATTATTTTTCTTCCCATTGATTCCATGAAGTCTTTGTAAGATAGCTGCAGGACCAAATGTGTTACCAAATGTTAATACAGGGTAACATTTGAATCCCTCTACAAAATTACACTGTGACTCTTTTATCAGAAAGTTAACACCTAGAGCCTTTTGTAAAAAAAGTATAGCCTCTGCAAACTACTACTGAAGTCTTTCTTTTGGACAGAATTGTTAATATGGATACAGTGATTTTTTTTTACTATTCAGTTCTTCAAGAAAGGCAAGCTCAGGAAATAGGGTTATTAAGAGTCTTAAACAGAGGTGGCTTTCACTTACCTTCTTTACCAGTTCACAAATGTACATGCGTGCGCCTTCCGTGCATGCACTTTGTTCAAAAAATGACCCTAAATATGACAACATAGAGCCAGGCAGGGTGGGTGGGGGGCACCCGTGATTTCCACTACTGAACTGGTCCGAACTGGCTGAATACCAGATCTTAAATGTACTCTAATGTCATTTAGGTATTGTAACAGAACCTCAAGAGCTGTCAAAACATCTCTTTATTTCAATGCATACTTAACAGAATCAGGATGGATAGTTGAGCTTATTGCTAATATTTTCTACTTTCTCGGAACTCAAATATCTTTTCTGTTACAGCTTAACATTTCTGACATTCTTCACAGCTAAGGGAAATTTAAGGATGCACGGTTACAGACACTTGTCAATAAGTTAACTGAACATAATGAAATTTGTTTCTGTTAAAGACTGAAATTCCAATGTAAATAAGTAAGTATAGAGTAAGAGTAGGTAGCTTGCAGATGATTTCAGATTGTCTCTCAGCCAAACCACTTTCATAACCAAGATGTTAAGATTCATTTGTAGAATTTCATAACTTAATTATATTACTCTAATTGCTTTATAGGAGTGGCAAGAAATTTTTCAAGGTCAGGGGCTATACTTTCAAAGTATTACTTCTTTCTTTTCCTTACCCCTTTGGAGCAGTTTCATCTTAGGCAGGGTAGTAAGACTACATAGTCTAAGTGGCTGGAGCCATAATTTTCAAAATGTTTTTCAAAAATTATTTCTCAGTTTTCTGTGATTTTTTTTGTAGTAGCTAAAGTTTTTTTTTTAACTTAAAGTTTTAACTTAAAAATTTAAAATAATAGAATCATGAGATATCATACCCCCAATTATCAATGATTTGCCAGGTTTTGCTGGTGCTGAACTGAAACAGTTCAAAATATAACAGAAGTGGGACTAGGATCCCATGCTGCTAATGCTTGTCTTACAACAATAGCTCTTAAGTGGCTGTTGGGTAAACATATAAATAAATCAATGTAGAGGCACAATAACACAGATTAAAACAACTTCAAAGAAGAACAGACTACAAATAACAGACAAAGCAAATGAACTGGAATCATATAACTTTAGACATCATTCCAAATTAGGGTCTCTTTCTTTTTATGTTCGATGTTTCCAATGATGCTACATAGCAACTCCCTGTCTACTTTCTTCCAAAGTGATTAGAGATTTGTATTTGTAAGCTTCAAAGGCAATTTGAGACTTTCAAACCGAAGTACAGATCCAATGAAAAGAATTGCTGGATATGAATGGTGATTTATAGTTAGAACATGTCTCAACTGTTCTCAAAAGCACAGCAATTAATAATTCAAAAGTGAGCTGGTAATTCTAATAGAAAAAGAATATGTTTCGCTTAATTATAATTCAGTGCATGCTGTTGTTACAATTTTTGGCTAAAGAGGAGCCAACAAGATTGTAAAGACTTGTTTCAATCCATTTATCTTGATGTGTAATTTTAAGAAAAGTCTCTCACATCCCTGGTCTCTTTGCTTCGTTATTAGGATGTCTTTTCAAGCTTTTCTTTTGCTCAGAGAGGTCCTGCTGTTTCAAGAAACCAAGACATATTATTTGTAGCTGCTGGGTGGAATTGTTTGGACCTGCTTTGGAAAACAGTAAACCATTGGCGGGACATTCATAGAGCACTTTCACACATGCTCGCCTGGTCTTGTATGTAATGGAGAATGGAATCAGGAGACCTCTAAACAAGACTAAAGAAAAGGTCTCTAAAGAAAAACCTGCTATGGAATATCATGCTTAACATGTGAATAATATAAATGGTCTAGATATTGACTATTTGTAATCAGTGGCCCCACATGTCTGTGCATTACATCAGCTACCAAAATAAATTGGGAAATACAACTTACTTTTTTTTAAAAATCAAAGAACATTACTAGTTATAATGGATGTAGAAACAAACAAGGAAAAAAGTAGAGCTTCTTATTTCTTTGGCTAGGTTTTCAATCATAGGAATTTCCTCAAATCCCACTCCCTTTAAGACAATGGTTTGTGATACAGTTGCTTTATCAGATGGTCTTAGTAAAAGCTTCTGGCTTCCTTCAATAAAATGGCTTCAAGGATTAGAACAAAGTGGATTTAAATTCATTGTTGATGTTGTGGTGATTGCAAACATGGGGCACTTCCCCCCCCTTTTTTTAAACCAGGATCCTTCAGCTCTATTCCCAAAAACGATCTATATACAATGCAGAATGTGAGAATCCTGGGTGTTATATCACCTTTCCAAAGTGACATGAAAGCGTAACATTTGGCAGCATTTTCCAACAATGTCAAATAAAGTTATGGCAAGTGTACTTTCCAGCCCTGTGCTGGAATGTATCCGATATATTGATGTTATAAATTCAAACTCAAACATAGTCTGACATGAAAAACAGCAAACGTGAATTAAACATTAATGGAAATGTTGTTTAGTTTGCTTTCTGATATTGTTTCACTTTTAACACATTTCTTGATAAAGATGGTACACGTGATTTTAGATAGAAGAGATCTGGGAATGCGGGAGAAACCAAATCTGATGAAATGTGTTAATCCAGCATAGGATTTGGATTACTCAACTCTTAATAATGTGACTTGGAATCTCGGTGTATTCAGACACTTTCACAGTGTGGAACAAAGATTGATAGATCTTTTTCCTGCACTTTACTGTCAGAAAGAGAATTTTGTTCTCTATCTTCTAGAAATAGCTTTATTTATTTGATTTGGAATTGATGAAGATGGTTGAGAACTGTATTTGGATTTTTTGAAAATAAGAGTTTACCAGAATGTGCACATTTCAATCCTTCAGCCATCTTTTCTTTTGGACCTTTGGCCTGCCACACTTTCTATTATTCTGCTATGCATTTTCTATTGTGNTCTATCTATCTATCTATCTATCTATCTATCTATCTATCTATCTATCTATATCTATCTATCTATCTATTTATCTATCTATCTAATCAGGTTTCTCCATACTTTATTATAATTATTTTGAAATATATTTTTATTGCAACTTGTCAGACATAATCCTAGATATTTCACTTTTGTTATGTGGCATCTGGATTATTTCTGTCCAAAACCTTCTGTTAATTTTGAATCCAGAAAATTCACCAAAACTAGTTGTTTTCATCAGCAATCACAATAATAATAACAACATTGGTATTGACAAAAATCACCGTCAGTCAATTGCAAACTGGGCAGCTTTACTGGGAACACTTTACATCCTGCAATGATATCTTTAACACCATTAAACATCCACACCTGCCTATTCCAGGTTCTTGTGCAGGACTTGATAGGTGATTAAAAATGCCAAATGCAGTCTGAACATTTGGCTTACTGTGTGAAAAACCATAATAATTTATTAAATTTATATGCCACTTGACTAGCAGTAATTGTGGTTAGTATAGAATTATTAAAATCACTTAAAAATAATAATACAAGACAACACACTCATAAAACACAGGATAAAGCAGCAATTATGACAAAGAAAACCAACTCAGAGGGGAACAAGCAAAGGGAAGAAAGGATTGCCAGCTCTCCTGGCCAAAGGCCTAGACAAAAAGCCTATAAAAGCATTACATTACCTGCCCTTTGGAATCCCAGCAAGATGGAGGGTGTTTCATTCTTGTTTGTTCCAGAGGATATGCAGTGCTACAGAGAAGATGCACTGATAGATGGCATTCTTTAATCAATGAAACCAAGAATCTGCCAATCTACCCAGATCAAACTGGCTGGGTAGACACTATGGGAGACAACAGGCCCTACAAATAACCAGGCACAGTGTTCCCCACATCTAAAAAGATTACTGATGCATTATTTTTCTTGTTATTAATATATTATAAAGCATTTATCTGGTATAATCTTTCCTTTTGGGAATATAACCTGTTTGATCTGTATGTACTATTTTTGGAACTTTTTTGGATGTTCAACAAATATTAAGATAAACATTTCTTTGTTTTCATCCTGGTTGCCACCCAAAGTTTTTTGGATAGATGGGTGGCCAAGTAGATCGGATCAATAAATAAATCAATTAGGCAAAAATTGAAATCTCCGTGCTAAATAATGTAAACCAATATTACTTATTTTAGAAATAGTGTAGGTGCTGATATTACTCAGGATAATAGGATAACTTTTCTTCGGTGTTACTCAAACAGGAAATGAGACTTCTTCAAAGCCAAATGGGTGGAGAAATCACTGTGGAAATGGATGCTGCTCCTGGTGTGGATCTCACAAAGGTCCTGGCAGAAATGCGAGAACAGTATGAGGGCTTGGCAGAGAAGAATCGCAGAGACGCTGAGCAGTGGTTCTTCAGCAAGGTAGGGACTTCTTTGAGAGGAACATACTCTCTTGAAAGCATGTTGGCTATTTTGATATGTGCGCCATGACATTTCAGTGGTCCTTTCTTAACAGACTGAAGAGCTGAATCGAGAAGTTGCCATCAATACGGAACAACTCCAGAGTGACCAATCAGAAGTCATAGAACTGCGACGTAGCCTTCAAGGACTAGAGATAGACTTGCAGGCCCAGCTTAGCATGGTACGGGAAACAGAACTGCTTTTGTTTTTCCCTCTCTATGTTCTAAATAAGAAGACTGCAGTATGGTGCAGATTATGTTTCTGTTTCACCGAGAGAACAGAAATGTTCTTGTTTCTTCCCTGAGTTGCTCTCTATATTCCTGTGTTGAAAGCTGCCTTTTCCCTTGGAATGAAATTGCTTTTTTCTACCACATTCTCAGCCTGTTGAGCATTCAGCTGTTGAAAGTGATACAGAATGGTACACTTACACGTTGCTGCTCTCTGTTATTTATTCCTTTTAGACCCAAGCCTTTTTGGCTTCCCAATCTAAACAATCTTTTATGACCTCCTCTCTAAGAATATAGTCCTAGTGGAAATCCAGGGAAGCTGCTGTCAGCCCTGTAAACTAGACCAGTCCAAGAAAACTTCGCCAGGCAGATCAGGATTCCTTTTATTGTTAGACCTAAATGATGATACACTTATTTGTATTTACTGTACATATAAGAATGATTCTCAGCCATCCTGGTCATAGTTATCCCAAAGTTGTTTTTTGAAGAGTTGCCTCTCAAAAAAGCTACTTTGGGACATATTGTAACAGCTATGGAAAATGAATCTTGCAAGTTTGAATTTGCTTCCTCCATCCAATCTTCATGTGAACTAGAGAGGGGCCTGTCTGTTTTCTCATATTAATTTCTTGAAATTGGCTCAATCCACACTTACCTGACTATTGCTTTGATAGTGGCTTTTCTTTCTAATGTTCAAGGCCATTTCCTATTCTCCTTATAACTCAAGTCTTCTGGAAAATTAACTGTGGTATGAAAGCTGGGTAATTCCTACGTGCTCTTTGGCTACTTCATAGTTAAAAATTACTCACAATGTCAAATTCCTCTCCGGAGAAATTTATCCACATTCTTTGATCTTTCAAACTAAATTTGAAAAGCCAATTCTTTCTTTATCAAACAGATAAAGAAAACAGGTGAGGAACAATGAGGCAGTTTTTCTTGCTGGACACTTATTTGTATTTACTGTACATATAAGAATGATACATTTTTGACAACAGCATCAATCTGCATGCAAGATGCTCTCATTTTCTATAGGTAAATCATTTTCAAAGAGTGTCCTGAGGCCCCCTGTTAGTAAGCTATCAAGCAGACAGATTTCTTGGGTGAGTGAGGGTGGGAGGGGATAATTTCCTCCCAGGATTCATGTTTTCTTAAGTACAGTAATACACCAGGAAACGTTGGTAGATTCATATACTGGATTGACATATTGTGCTAAATTAGAGTCGGGCAATTATATTAGGCTAACAGTGTTTGATCTTTGAATGACATTTTGGAAGTAAAACTACCAATGGGAATAAGGCTATGACAAAGAAATAAGTGAGGAAAGGACAGAAAAGTTACTTTAAAAAAATAACTTAAAAGGGTTAGATTAAAACATCAAATGAATACTGTACAAATAAAGTGAACAATGTTCTTATTCTTTTATAATGCAGAGGAAAACTTAGCAGCTCCAACACTTTTGGTCTCTCTGTCTCTCTGTTAAGCCACTATTATGTTAATCCATTATAAGGTTGATTTGCTTCCAATAATATATGCACCCAACCATTTGATTCAATAAATCATAGTTTGCAAACTAATGTTGGTTTTGCCAGGGCTGCAATGGCTTGTTTATCAAAATATAACATTTATATTCCTTTTTAACACTGATTCTGATTCCTCCCTCTTCCCAGAAAGCAGCACTGGAAGGGACTTTGGCAGACATCGAATCTCGCTATAGTATTCAGCTAGCCCAGATCCAGGGGCTGATCATCAATGTGGAAGAGGAACTGGCTACCTTGAGATGTGATATGGAGCGCCAGAACCATGAATATAAGATTCTCCTTGATGTCAAGACACGCCTGGAACAGGAGATTGCCACCTACCGTCGTCTGCTGGAGGGAGAGGAAACTTAGTATGTCAAAAGGGTCCCATTGATTGTGACTCAAAGTGGCAAATTGGGAAAATGGTGAAGGTTAGAGGTCCATTAGAGTAAGGTTCCACTGAAGGGTTCACCAAACTGTAGGATTTCTGAAATATATTTTATTGCCTGAGTAGGACTAACAATTTTTATTTAAGATGATTTTTGTAGCTTTCCCACTATTTGAAACTTTTGTTAGCACATGTTGTTGATACACTAAGTTGGGCTGTTGTGATTGCAATGGCTGTAAATCAAATACAGTTAATGACAAAGGCGGTGCTTGAACAAGATCTTATTCTTTATCCTTTGCCTTTACTAGTCGATCAATAGAGTATTGGGCCACAGATGAAAATGTAGTGATTATGTATAAAGTGGTGCAGCACTCTAAAATAGCTCCTGTAATTTTATTATGAAGAAATTATCATGAATTGAATCAGACTTAGATCAAGTGTCATTGTTTCCTTCTTATTAAAGATTAGCAACTTTGACAATTACTTCTGTATTTGTTTTTTGCATTGCTTTTTGTGTTTTTCTAATTGGTCTTTTTTTTTTTTTTCTTCTTTTCATGTAGTATTTCTCCCCAATACTCATCAGCCGTAGAGGGTAAGGATCTACCAGAGTTTTGATGTTTAATTAGCCTCTTGCCTGAATCTATTCTAGTTTTAAAAGTTTCCTTCTTGGAGTATCTAGATCTGCAAAATAAATAGACAAGGTGATGATTCAATAGTTGCGACCAAACCAACGGCTCGCCCATATCTCCTCACCCATACCTCCCTGCTTCAGCTCCAGACTAAGTTCTTTGCCATTGATGAAAGATGTGTCCTCACAACTTTTTCTATATCTGAGGCCCAGTCTACAGTTAAGTCAGGCTGAGTCTGCAAAAAGGCAATCTACAAGGAATCCAGCACTTCCCAATTGTTAGGCAAATATTCTATATTGCATGGAGAGCAACTAAGGAAGACACAAGTGTCTTCAGCCATAGGGCTATGTTAAACTAGGACCATTTCTGCTTTCATCATCATCCAACTTGGCAGGCAATGGGTTTTGTTTTTTTGCTGTGGTAAATATTAGGGTTCCAAGTAACACCCCCAATGAAAGAAGACTCCGAGACTTGAGTTTCCTCAAAGTTCCATTTTATTAGAGATATCATATTAGCACATCTGAGAAAACCTGAATCTGAAAGTTTCCAGGTTTTCCCCACCCAAAAGAAAGTTGAAATCTCTGCCCAGCACCCACATGTCCATCACAGGATCCAATCAGGCACCATCCAAAACTGGAGATGCCTCCCAATCACCTCATCGCAGCTGCAGGCGAAGATGGCCTTGACTTTCTGAGAAAGAATGTTATTTTGACTATATATCACCCACGCTATGTATAACCCCCCCTCCCATTTTCCCACAGTAGAAAATGTGGCAGGCCTGAAATCCCAAAGGTAAAAGATGGCTTCTAGCTTTGACAGTAGAAATGGATGGATAACACTTGTAGAGCAAAGGAATGGTTGTAAAGTATGGCAGTTGCAGACATACAGGGGAATAGAGTTCATGTCTGATAATTTCCAAAGATGGTTAAGGAGTTTTGGCATAAGGCATAGACATAGCTGAAAAAGGAGTGGCTGAAAGACGGAATGGCGTATTGCAAACCATGAAACTCTCTCTGCTAGCAGATGCAGGAATGAGTAGAATATACTGGGAGAATTATATAATAAACAGAATATGGAGTGTTGCTATAAATGAAATTCCATATTTCCTATTATACGGAAGAAAACCTTTATTGGCTCACCTAAGAACATTTGGCAATTATGCCCGTTTACTGTATTTGCTCTTGGGTTGTCTCACATAGTCACCCTGTGCACACTCTGACATTTCTATTGGCAACTTTTAAAGTTTCACAGCATGGGGACCCTGGACTTTGTGATCTACACCAGTGGTCTGCAGCAGAAGGCCTGCCCATCAGGCTGCAGCTACAACTGCGCTGCTATTGTTGCTCCATGCTTTCATGCTTCAGACTTTCTAGTTAACATAGTCAGCCATGGAGGGCCTTTAGTGAGGGATTCATGCATACATGCAGGGAAACTTTCACTGACCTTATTTTCAAGGCACAGCATGTCAAGTTTTCTCAACTGGCAAATTGGTTACCTAATTTGAGGATAAAAGGAAAGGATATTGGGGGAATGGGAAGATCCTCAGGTTGGTTAAAGCATTGTCTTTCAAATGGCTTTAAATTTTCTGTGTTTGAAAAGAGATTGTAACAAAAATTGGGTCACAACTTTGCCAATCGTTTATCCTTTTAGTTACGATTGTAAAGGAACAATTTTATGGCTTCTAAAAGTATGCACTGGAGGGTCATCTGCTCTTTGAGCAGATCTTTATTTGAACCCTCTCTTTCAGACTAGATTTATCTTACCTCTCCCATATCAGAGCTTTGACTCTGGTGGAAGAAAAAGAAGGGGACCAGACTGGATGTGTAATGTCAATGGTTCATCAACAGGATCAAATCCTTTCTGATCCTCTTAATTACAAACAGGTTGATGCTGGAGATGTTTTGAGAAACTGAGAAGACCCACCATTGGAGTACTCTGCAAGAATGACATGATTGCTTTGCCTAAGAAAAACAGAGAGGGTTGAGTGAAAAATAGGAGGGAGAGAGGGGGAAAAAGACATGTTAGGAAAAAGTGAAATAATCCCTGTTGCTTTTATAAACATGCATTGCTGGGAATGTATAGGTGTTTTGTTCTCACTGGATCCAACAGGCTAACTCTAGCCAGCCTAAGCTACTCTGCCTCTACCTTGATTATTATTATTTTATTAATTGTTTAATTAAATAGCCTCGATTAAATACTGCCAGACTAGAAGCCTGCTGCTTAAAGCAAATAGGTAGATGAAGCCTCTCTTCTCCCGCCTGCAAGCAAATAGATTGTGCTGAACTACTCAACCTCATTCTAGAGTTGAAAAAGTATCCAAAAGACATTTAATTATCAAATAACAATATAAAAGCCTTAGGAAACAGCTCCCTTTTCTGTAAGCAAATCACTATTCTTGAAATCAACATCCAATGAGCTGTGAATCAATGGAGACTATTGTCTTTTCTTTTCAAATGGTAAAATATTCAGTATAAGCATTCTGAAAAAGAAATCACTTNTGTAGAACTTGGCTTTGATGTCTGAGATGATGAAAGCTCTGGGGAATGCAAGGGAAAGAAAAGGCCTTTGACTTAACGCCCCCACAGTGGGAATAAAAGCAGCTTGGAATGAGAGTGAAGCTTAGTTTTTCAGTCCTTGTAGAATTGAACAGAGCAGTGTTTTAGGTGGCTGGATTCCCTAGCAAGATGTCCACCATCATCAGGCACTACACTAGCACTTCCTCCTCCTCTATGAAAGGTTTTAGTGGGGAAAACATATCCCATTTTGGTAGAGGTTGCCATTCCCCTAGCAGTCATGGAGCTGGTAGTATTTCAGTTTCTACTGCTCGCTATGGCTCTGGGATTGGAAACACCCCAGGTGGCACTTATGGTGGCAGCAGTTACTGCAGCCCCTTTGCTGGTAGCCTTGGTGGAGGCCTTAGTGGAAGTCTTGGAGGAGGAACTGGTGGGGTTTTGGGTGGAAGTGGAAGTGATATCCTTCCGGCTGGGAATGAGAAGGAAACCATGCAGAACCTCAATGATCGCCTGGCTGCTTACCTGGACAAAGTACGGGCATTGGAGGAAGCCAATGCCAGCCTGGAGGTCAAGATTAAGGAGTGGTACCAGAAGCAGGCACCTGGTCCAGACCGTGACTACAATCACTATTTTAGGATTATTGAAGACCTGAGGAGCAAGGTATGGCAAGGAAATTTCACGGGGATCTATAAACATGCCAACCCTCTGACTGTAACTAATCAGGGCCCACAAGCACTTGTTAGCAATAGCATTGGGCAGAGTACATTAAAAAAAAAAGATAGGTGAAAAGCAATGAGCAAAAGTGTCTCCTTGGATGGGTTCCTCTTTTCAAGGCAAGTTGGGCTTAAGAAACCAGAATTTAATTGCTATGTGAGTGGAGAGGGCTAATGCTTTTCTTGTTAATGGAATGGATGGAATAGAATAGAATAATAAATAGAATAGAATAGAATAGAATAGAAACAAGAATAGGAATAGGATAGGAATAGGAATAGAATAGAAAACAGAGTTGGAAGGGATCTTAGAGGTCTTCTAGTCCAACCTCCTACTCAGGCAGGAAACCCTATACCATTTCAGAGAAATGGTTGTCCAGTTTCTTCTTAAAAATCTCCAGTGTTGGAGCATTTACAACTTCTGGAGGAAAGTTGTCCCACTGATTAATTGTTCTAACTGTCAGGAAATTTCTCCTTACTTCTAGGTTGCTTCTCTCCTTGATTAGTTTCTACCATTGCTTCCTGTTCTGCCCTCAGGTGCTTTGGAGAATAGCTTGACTCCCTCTTCTTTGTGGCAGCCCCTGAGATATTGGAACACTGCTATCATGTCTGCTATCACCTCTAATCTTCATTTATATTTTGATTCCTTGTAATTTCAGGACAAAGTATTCCTTTCCATTGTAGATGTTAAATGATTAATCTTTTAAGTGTATATGAACATCAAATTGGTGTTATGAATGAGTCAATATTTGCAGAAATGACATGGCCCATTTATCCCACTGTGTGTTATGATCTCCATAAATCTGTGAAATCTAAAATGGTCTTCGCTTAATTTTACCATAATTATTGATTCAGTATGTTTCCAATTTACACAGAGATGATTTATTTGAAATATGAAAAATTATCTATATATGTTTGTGTTTATTTTTCCTTTATAATATGTTTCTAACAAATTTTCTTCAGTGTGATGCAATATTGTTCAAATCAATGTTTTCAATAAACATTTTTGTGCCTGCTTTTTCCAAATGTTTCAACACTTTGGGACTTGCAAATTATCTTGTAAAGTCAAAAAATGAGCATATTTTCACAAAGTACTGCATTTTGGGTTACATGGATATTTGTTTTGTGTGTGTATCATTGGGACATAAATTGAAAAGTTTTCTACTTCATGCCTATTCAATATTCTAACAGTAGATTTTTTTTATTATTTCAACATTTTAAAACACACTCTGGAAAGCTTAGAAAAGGATATAAATGAGCCTTGTTAATGATAGGGGAAGGTAAAAAAATATTTCTATCTAAAGTCCAGCTAAATGTGGAAGTGATAGAGTGAAGACAAAAACAAAAGTAGACAAGGCATCATAAATATGAGACCGTCAAGCATATTTATAGGTAAATATAGATAGCCCAAAGTGAACAAAACTTACTTTATGAGTGTAGGTCTTGATTATCTACTGTAGACTGTAGTACAGGCAATTAAATGAGGATTACTTACGTCCTGCAACAATCTGCTAAAATGGGAAGCTAACTTTGATAGCTTTGCAAGATCCAGTAAATTTTTAACTTGAAACCTTTCAAGACATTTTGTTACTTAGTTCAAAAACTCTATGCGACACCTTCATAGTGAACATAGGAACAATGTTCTAGGAACATTTATTTGAGATACCTTGGCAAAGTTTCAGTGGCCTTGCAGAAGAAAATGCTATTTTGTAGGGTGAATCAATGGACAAGTGCTTCTTCTCTCCCTCTATTATATATCTTCTCCTGGATATTCAGCTTTATGCTACAGTAAAAGCTAAAAGTATCTAGCATTTGGACAGGGCATTTATCCAATACTGTAGCTCAATCATTTATAGGGCTCCTTTAAAAGAAA